AGTTTAGACGAACTTAAACTCCCTGTTAGCAAATAATCTTAGTTAACTTAACGATGAACCGTTTAAGCTAACAATGTAAAGTTATGAACATTTTTTGTAATTGTATTAGCAGTTACTTGATTGCAAATTTATCGTTACTTGTAATTTTAAATTCTGCAATTAAAATATTATTATATTAGTAATCTTTTTTTTTGATTATAATAAAATATAAATATATATTAATATTTTTTTATATTTGAATATAAATATTGTTAAACTAGTAAAACTAAAAAAATTCCTTTTTTAGACAAGTCAGATTAGTCAGATTAGGTCAGATCAGATTAAATGTATATTTTATTTAGGTCAATTTTATGTCTGATCTGACCTGATTTATTCAGAACTCTAAAATTAAATAAAAATAAAAAGTAATTAAAGATTATTTGTGATATGCAAATGAATAAAATAAAAAAATCTAAGCTGCATAAGTATTAATTTTAGATCATTTTAATCTTCTAAGAAGAAGAAGAAGAAGAATAATAATATAACAATTTGTTTTAATTTATATTTGATAATTTATGATTATTGAATTAAATTTTATAATTTTATAATTCTAGAACATATCAAGTTTAAGTATAATGATAGTTTTAGATTTATTAAAAAACTTTATAAAAATAAATATAGATTATGTTGTAATTAAAAATAATTCTTTTTACATATTTTTATCTAATTAAGATGTTTCATATAAAATAACTAGATTTAAAGAAATTGAATAAGAAAAATAAGTAGTTGAAAAGTTTGAAAAAGTAAAAGAAAAAAAAAACTAATAGAAACTTCTTTAGTGAAGTTTTAAAACCTTTTTTAAAAGATTTATAAAGTTACTTTCTTATTTCTAGTTAAAAACATTTTCTTGTTCTAAAAAAAATTAAATTGAAAAGTTAATTATTATAAATGTATTTAAAGAATGTAAGAATAGCTATTTTTATATATATATAGAGAAAAAAAAATAATTCAAAAAAACTTCTGATTATTTTTCTTAAACAAATATGAAATTTATATGTAAACAAAAAATAAATATGAGACTTAATATATTTTAAAATGATGAATTGAATAAAAATAAAAAATACTAATTTTGATATATTGATGATTTTATAGAAATTGTTTTACTAAGCAAGAAAAAGAAAAATAATTTTCTTTCTAATTTTAAAACAACTATACATATTCAAGACCTCAACCTTCACTACTTTAAGACTAATGTCATTGATTTAAATATAAAGATTTTATCTAAATAAGTAATAAATATAAAAACAATACTTTAAAAATATTGAAAAAAGGTTTAATAATAAATTTATTTGATTATAAATAATAGGTATAACTTTTATTTTAGGTTTTACAATTGCTATAATTTATGTTATTAAAGGATTAAAAGAAAAAATATATAAATATTATAATATTATAATCATAAGATTCTTTTTTTTTTATGCAAAAAATATTATAATCATATTATATTGGTAATATTAAACAGATATTATTAATTTCTGAAATTCAAAATAATTGAAAGTAATATAAATAATTTATATTTCAATAATATTTGAATTTAAAATTTTATTTAATTCAAACATATATTTTTGTTGGTTAACGTATTAGGTTAGAGATAAACTCAATATCCATTTATAGAAATTCAGTTAAAAATAGGATTTCTATGGATTATCCGGTGATCGGACGGCTTGTTGCGCAGCATCAATATATTTATAAACCGTATGCGCCTTTACTTTCTGGTTTTTTTTTCTTATTTTTTTATTCGTGTCCTTATAATCTTGCGTGTTTTTAAGGTTTAGAAGCGATAAATTTGAGAGTAGCATACAAATGGCGCAGCAAAGAGAATATATTAGGTTAGAAAAGTTGGGTGAAGGCACATATGCCACAGTTTACAAAGGCAAAGAACGAAGATCAGGAGAGACAGTGGCTTTAAAAGAAATTCATTTGGATTCAGAAGAAGGAGCACCTTCCACAGCTATTAGAGAAATATCTTTAATGAAAGAATTAAAACATCCAAATATTGTAAAGTTGAAAGATGTAATTCATACAGAAAATAAGCTTATGCTTGTTTTCGAATATATGGATCAAGATCTTAAAAAGTATATGGATTCTCATGGAAATCATGGAGCATTAGATTCGATGACAATTAAATTATTTATGTATCAAATGTTAACAGGAATAGATTTTTGTCATCAAAATAGAGTACTTCATCGTGATCTTAAACCACAAAATCTCTTAATTAATAAAAATGGGCAACTTAAACTTGCAGATTTTGGTTTGGCACGCGCTTTTGGAATTCCCGTAACAACCTTTTCAAATGAAGTTGTTACTTTATGGTATCGTTCTCCTGATGTGCTTTTGGGTTCTAGATCATATTCAACATCAATTGATATATGGTCTGCAGGTTGTATTATGGCCGAAATGTATACTGGACGTCCCCTCTTTCCAGGTGTAAGTTTATTATTGTTGTACCCCCATGAATATTAATTTCTATTTTTTTTTGTTTGAGAACTTTCGTCTAAATTTTTTTTCTCTTCCTTGTATGGTCACGTGATGGAAACGTAGACTACCAATGAAGACCAATTACTCAAAGTTTTTCGTATCATGGGAACTCCAAATGAACAAACGTGGCAAGGAGTGTCACAATATCCAGAATATCATAAACCATACCCACAATTTCCTCAACAAGATATGGGAGTATATCTTCCAATGATCGACCGCCATGGATTAGATTTACTTATGCAAATGCTAGTTTTTGATCCTGATAAAAGAATTACAGCAAAAAACGCCTTAAAACATATATATTTTCAAGATTTATTAGTTGATAATTTTGATAATTCAACAGCTATTAATAATTATAATAACGGCATTCCACAAATGGCACCACCTCAATCTACTATGAGGATGGCTGTACCTCAAATGACGATGCAAATGGGTCCAATGCCAACTGGTGTTAACATGCAAACACTTAATGTTCAACCTGTTAATATGCATATGGTTCCTTCTGGTGTAAATATGCAAATGGGTGGAATGCCTTCAACCGTTCAACCTATGATTGCGGTACCTCAATTAATGCCAGGTGGTGCTCAAATGATGGGTCATCCTTCTAATGCACCTACACAAGCACAAATGATGCCACGTGGACCAAGAAATCATATGCATGATAATTATGGAATTGAATAACGAGTAATTAAAAACGTTTCTTTCGGAAAGTGACATAAAGTTGATATTTATCTCGCCTTATACTTATTTCAGTAACTTATTTAAGTACTGAATATTCTCCTTTTACTTAACCTTTTCCCATGAATATTCGGCAAGCACATACTGTATTTATTGTTATCATTCTACCATTAGCTTATCGATAATTATTTATTCATGTAAAATTTTATTCCAAATAATTGCGAGATTTTAAATTCTAAAAATATAGAATTTATTTCGCGTGTATTCTTAAAAACGATTTACTTCGGTAATTGAAAGGAAAAAGGAATACCAAACAATTATATATACACACACAAATATTATAAATTATTAAATTGAATAAGACATTTATAATTAATTTTTTTTTTTTTTAATAACTTATCTACTCCACTGTTTATCATTGTTCTTTTTCAAAGAATTACCCCTCTGTTTAGCAAAATGATTGTTTGATCCCTTATCATTTCTATCACGTTTTTTAATTTTTGAATCTTTACCACTTGAACCTATAGTAATATGTACTTTTGGTGGAACTTTAAATCCAAATGCTTTCCCGACTTTTTGAAGATCTAAATTATTCACATTGAATATCGATTTTAGTGAATAAGAAGTATAAGACATCAAGTAAGATCTAAATCCATCACGGGCTGATTCGTGAAGATAATAATTTTTTTCAACAAGCTTTTCAAGCTAAGGAAAAAAAAACATAATATATATATTATTATTAAAAAAAAAAAATTTATTTATGTAAATTAAAATCACAAACCTGTGATTGAACATTAGCAATTTTATTTGCGGGAAATTGATATTCATTTAATGGTACTTTTGCATGTTTAAGGTAGCGTAAAAACCCTAATTCATTTGGTAATAAAAATAATAAACTTTTTCCTTGACCACCTGCTCTAGCAGTTCTACCAACTCGGTGAATATAATCACGTGGATCGTCTGGCGGATCGTACTGAATGATCCAATCTACTGCAGGGATATCTAATCCTCTTGCGGCTACATCTGTACAAAGAAGAATACCATGTTCTGCATTTATAAATTCAAAAAAGGTATTTGTACGTTTTGTTTGCTTTTGTTTTCCCTTTTTTTTTTTAATGATAATTAATTAATTAATTAAATTTACAACAAAAGATGCTTAAAATAAAAGATCACTTACGTGTAAATCTAATACAGGCACATCAATATAATTTAATAATTCTGCATGATATTTAACAGAATTACAACTAGAAAAAAACACTATAATCTTCTTTTTTAAATTTCTTTTTAAAAATGTAAATAATAATAAAAATCTTTTATCACTATCACAAACAACATATCCTTGAACAAGTCCATCCACCGTAGCCGTTTCTTTTTTTTCATCTACATTAATATATATTGGTCCTTGTCTCAGGGATATTCGTACTAGGTCTTCAACTTTAGTAGTTTGCGTAGCGGAGAAGAGCATTGATTGACGATTTTCTAATAGTAAATATAATAAAAATTAACAATGTATGCCAATCAAGAAATGCATATCTTCTTTAATATTTATATAAATACAGTCAATACCTTTGGGAAGAAGTTTAATAATTTGCTTCATTTCATCCTCAAAACCAATTTCTAATATACGATCGGCTTCATCTATAACGAGAGCTTTGAGATTCTTGTATATAAATCCTTTGGTGTTCTACGTGATATGATAATTAAGTTATTAAAGATAATATTGACCTATTGACCTATATAATTTGAAATTATTTTTACAAATACCTGAAGATGATCTAATAATCTCCCAGGAGTGGCAATTAATAAATTTACTCCTTTAGTTATTTTTTGAACTTCAGCTGGTCTATTAGCTCCACCCATTACAATTCCAAAAGTTTGTTGATGATATTGAAGCAATTCTTTTGCAACTCCAAGAATTTGAAGAGCCAATTCTCTTGTTGGAGAAATGACAATCACACCAGTTCCTATTGACAATAAATGTAATTATTAACAAAAAAATAATAAATTCGTTATTCGTTTATAATGAAACGCTACCATTTCTGGGCTTAAACTTTAATTTGTGAAGTATTTCAATCGCCGGAATTAAAAACGCTAAAGTCTTGCCACTGCCTGTTTTAGCAGCACCTATAACATCTCGACCAGCCATTAATGGGGGTATCGTTCTTGCTTGAACTTCCGTCATTCTAGTAAACCCCATTTCTTTAATGGCTTTCTTAGTAGACTCTGAAATTTTTAATGATTCGAAATCGTAGCTGACTGATTCCGAGGGTGTTTCTATTGTTATTTATAAATATAAAGAATATATTGAATGAGCATTGAAATCATTAATGTTAAAATAGAATAACCAAATATTTATACCATTAGTTTCAAGTTGAGGGACTTCGCCCATTCCATCGATTAAATTTGATTGTTCTGCCTTTTGTTTTTTATTAACTTTTTCTTCCTCTTCTTCTTCAGTGCTACTTGAACTAAGTGAACGTTTTGACATTATTAAAATTAATTACGAAATAAAGCTATTAATCTTTTGCGATTTTTTAATTAAATTTTTTTTGATAAAATTTAAAGATGTTTAAAAATCCATTTATTGGTCAGAGGCGATCAACCAATAAATTTTATATAGAATTTACTTGTAACATGAGATCATTTCCTAATTTTGATTGGCTCAATTTTATTATTAAATTTAATAATATTAATTTTTCGCAATTTGAGAATTGTCTTGTATATAAAATCTGTATCTTAATCTAACACTTCTAATAAAATCAATTTCACTGACTCCCTTATCATTACCCTCTAAACTAGAAACTCCAAAAAGGAACTTTAAGGAGAAACTAGTTAAAAGGCTAAGTATAAGGATGTAGTAATAATTTAAGAACAATATAATTATATTCTTTACATCTCTTCAAATATATATATATATTATAGTTATAGGACTATTGCATAGCGATTAGGTAGTCATTACTTAATCATTATAACAGAATTAGATAAGAAAATTATTACTTTTTATACAATAGATAGCCATTTAGTGTAGAAATTTTATTATAAATAAACTGAGTTTTTCATCATGTATCATTAGAAATTTAGGAAGAAATTTAGAGAAAAACTTAGGAAATTAGAAAGTTAATTTATAAGTTAATAAAACTTTTGCTAAATTTTCTTGGCAAAACAAATCACTTGTGTCAACCATATTTTGTGTCAACCTATTTTGTGTCAACTATGTTTAACATCTTTGATTTATTCATGTTAATAATTACTTAAATGTTAAATAATTGCTTTGTATCAACAACTGTATTTGAGTCACCAATAAGTTAAAGTATTATTATTGTAAAATACTTTAAGCTACGCATAACCAACTTAGTTATAATAAAGCTATTATAATATCATCAAGATATTTTTCTAATCATTATAGGAAATTATGAATCACATATAGTGAATTGGAAGTTTTTATACTTGCCAATTCAGAAATTTAATTGTGAAAGTATATTAACGTTAATTGAAGTTCAAAATAATTAAAGTCTTTTCCAATTTATTGTAAAGATTGAGTTAAATCTTGCTACTACTCAATTGATTACATGTTTTAGTCTGCTTAATCATTAGTTGGATAACAATATAAAATTATTTTTTTCTATTATCAGCTTAGATTTTGCCATTATCACAAATTCTTTCTATAATTAATTCATCTTATATCTGGTTAGATTCATTTTTTTGTATTTGTATTTACAAAAGATTTAACAATACTACAATATAGCTCATATAATGATTATGACAAATTGTGTGATATTTACTTACTGTACTAGATAAATCTAAAGTTTTGTATTACAAGACCTTATGTTTATTATTTGCTGTGAATCTTCATTACTTTATTTTAAATACCTTTATTTCACAAATAATACATAGCCTAACAAGTTTTTTTTTTTAGAATTTTTATTATATAAAACCTTTGGAATTGCTAAAAATACCTGTTGAAAAGTATATAATTAGCAGGATTATTTTTGTTAAAATAACATAATAGATGTTTATAAAATATATTATTGTAATTTTTTTTATAATTACATAAAGAATTTCAAGATTTTAGTAATTTTAACAATTAATTATAATTATATTAATTTAAATTATATAAAAAGCTATATTAGACAATTTTATATAATAACTAATTATGTAAATATCCATTATTTTATTTAAAAATATATTAATAATTTAAGGTCAAAATTAAATTTTTACATTTTAAAGAATATAAGTTGATATGTATATTAGATTATATTTTATAGGTTCAGTTGCTAATTGATATACAAATTATTATTATTTTAATAATAAAAATTAAATTAAAATAATATTAAGGATAATATAAAAATAAAAATAAATATTATTAATATTTAATATAAGATATTAATTAAATTAATAAAATTATTAAAAGAACAAAATTTAGATTTTATATAAAATAATTTATATAATGTTTTCTACTTATATTTTAAATAGATAATTTTAAATAGATATATATTCAATTATCTAAATTAATAACTAGATATTGTTGAAATTTAAATAATGTTTAATTGGATTATTTTATTTATTCAGTTTATTCAGTATTTTACATGTTTATGTAATTTAAAAAAGATTTGATAATTTAATTAAATTAAAATAATTTTTGTCTTTATATAATTTTTAATTTTTATAAGTATACTATCACAAAAATATTCTTTATACTATGAATTACTGATTAAAAGAAAAAGCAAATAAATTCAATTATTATGTATTATGTTATTATTATAAAAATAAAATAATAAATACAAAACAATTAATTTATTCTCATTTAAAATCTTATAAAAAATTTGAAGAATAATACATTGAAGATAAGAAAAATAAAAATTTTTTTTTCTAAAAAATATAAAAAAGAATTTAATTTTAAGATTGAAATTTTTTCACCTTCCACTTCTTTATTATATAAGATATTTTTTTTTTTTAAGGATCTGATATTGATACTTCAACAGAAAAATCTGATTTTAATAAAAATAAAATACAAATTACAGATTATATATTTTATCAAATTCTTTTTTCAAAATAAGAAAAAATTCAATAGAAAAATTTGGTTTTAAATTTTACTATATATAATAGATGGTTATTTAGATAGATTGATAATAAATCATATTAAAAAATGATTAATTTTGTAAATCCTAAATTAAAATTATCTAATTAAAAAGTATTAACAAGTTGAATTTTAATTACAAATTCAAAAATTATTAAAAGTAATTTGATTAATACTGTATAAAAAGATTTATTTAGAGTAACTATATATTTTAATGAATAGAAAAATATTAAAAACAAGAAATTATGATTCAGTTTTAATTACTTCTAATAGACAAGTATTAGTATGAGAAGAAAAAAATGTAAATGAAAATATGTTAAGATTAAAAGAAATTTAAAATTTTTATTGGATATTTTGGATAAATTAAATAATCTAAACATTAAATATAATACTATAATTACTGATAGTTAGGGTTTCTCAAAATCAAATTGAATCAAATATTTAAGCAATTTAAATTTGATTTAATTTTTTCAAATTGAATTGAATCAAATTGAATTGAATTCAAATATTTGATCAAATCAAATCAAATTGAATAAAATATTTATCAAATCAAATCAAATCAAATTAAATATAAAAAAATTTTTTGATTTTTATATGATATATTAAATAAAGTTATTTCAAAGTTTTAATTAAGAAAATTAATAATTGTACTAAAAAATTTCAAAGATAGCTTTTATAAAGTAAGTTTAGAAACAGTTGAATTTTTACTATTAAAAACTTAGTAAAACAACTTTGTAACTTTGGTTTTACAGTCAACTCTCTATAAATACACCCCTCTTGGGACTAACATAAATGTGCATTTATAGAGGATATGCATTTATAAAAAATATGCATTATTAAAGAATTTATATTATTTATATTAAAATAAATAAACAAAAAATAAATGAGTTCAAAAATACTATTTTATTATATGTATTTTAATAAAGTAA